AGGCCACTATTTTATCCAGACTCTCTTGCATTCCAGTGTAGTCATTTAGCTACATGGGATATAAGTAGAAGTGATATGTATCACTTCCAGGCCAGGGCTTTTAACAAAGTAGGTGTACCTTTGCACTTTGTTATTTACTCTTCTGCCAGCCAGAGGCAGAAGGCCTAAAGAGATGCTAAGTAGTGCCAGTGGAAAGAGCCTAGGTTTCCGAATTACCATATGCAAGAAGCCACCTGCTGATCAGGCATTGGACCACAATACAGATGAGAAACAAACATATATTATGTAAAGCCATTGAAATTTGTATAACTAGCATTATCACAATCACTTATCTGCCCCCACCTGGGCCTGCCATTCATGTACACAGAGATCCACTACTGGCAGCTATCCCATGGGAAAACAGACTTATATATATCACAGTAAGAAACTCCTAAAAGCTACTTAGAAGGCTCATTCTGAAATATAATGGACAAGAAAGATCACAAGAAAGAAAACAAGCAGCATAAAAAAGAAAGACCAAGATAAACAGCATTCATCCTGAGAAAAGAACACAGGTTATCTATGGAATAGAAAAAAATTAAATTTTTAATTAATGTTCTCAGAGATATTTGAAAGATACTGCTTCCATGAAACTATGACTGGATACTCCTACATCGTATCCTAACTTCACACACACAAACCAAAATAAAAATCCAAAAGAAGAAAGAGTTCTTAGAAATTAAGCATACAGTCGCTGACATTTTAAAAATCAGAAGGGTTGGCTGGGCACGATGGCTCACGCCTGTAATCCCAACACTTTGGGAGGCCGAGGTGGGTGGATCATGAGGTCAAGAGATTGAGACCATGGTGAAACCCCATCTCTACTAAAAAATACAAAAATTAGCTGGGCATGGTGGCATGCACTTGTGGTCCCAGCTACTCGGGAGGCTGAGGCAGAAGAATTGCTTGAACCCAGGAGGCAGAGGTTGTAGTAAGCAGAGATCATGCCACTGCACTCCAGCCTGGCACCTGGCAACAGAGTAAGACTCTGTCTCAAAAAAAAAAAGAAATCAGAAGGGTTGAAAGACAGCCTAGAACCTCTCATAGAACATAAAGCAAAAGATGAAGAGAGAAAATATCAGAAGAAAGATGAAACTAAGAGAATAAATCCACAATATTCTATATCCAAAAAGAAAATAACAAGGAATGAAATAGCTTTAAAAGCTTTAATATATATGTGGTTACACACACACACACACACACACATTGTGCCACATATTGTGTGTGTGTATGTACATATATATATATATATATGGTCTCATCCAGAGTTAAAGAAAGATGTAACTATTCCTAGTGAAGGACATAAACGAGTGCCAGGCAAAATGAATGAAAAAAAGATCAACTAGACACAACATTATGAAATTTTGGAACATTAAATATTAAGAGATTTTTAAGTTAATTAATTTATTTGCTGTGGTAAGAACACATAAGACCTACTTTCTGAAAAAAAAAAAATTTATAGTTCACTACTATTAACTGTAAACACAATGCTATACAGAAGCTCTCTAGAACTTAATCATCTTGCATAACTGAACCTTTATACCCATTGAACAGCCCTCTCCATTTCCCCCTCCCTCAGCCCCTGGCAGCCACCATTCTATTCTCTGCCATAGAAATGGACAATTATCTTATTTCACTTAGTGTAAGGTCCTCCAGGTTCATCCATGTTGTCACAAATGAGAGGATTTCCTTTTCTATGACTGAATAATATTACATTTTATGTATATACCACAGTTTCTTGATCTGGTTATCTGTCAATGGACATGTAGGTTGTTCCCACCTCTAGGCTATTGTGCATAGTACTGAAATGAAAATGAGAAGACTCTAGAGAGGAAGAGAAAAAAGATCACCTACCAAGGAACAATAATACATCAAGCTACTGCTTCTTTCCCCTACCTCCGCCTCCAAGGAAGAGTCTTGTCCACCTCAGCCTCCCAAGTAACCGGGACTATAAGCATAAGCTACCACACCCAGCTCATTTTTGGTATTTTTTGTAGAGACAGGGTTTTGCCATGTTGCCCAAGCTGGTCTTGAACTCCTGGGCTAAAGCAGTCCTCCCACTTCAGCCTCCCAAAGTGCGGGGACTAAGGGTGTGAGCCACTACACCTGGTCTAAGATTCTTATTAGTAATACTCCATGCTAAAGATAGCTGAACAATTCCTTCATAGTTCTGAGGGGAAAAAATGTTTGAATATAGAATGTTGTACTCCACCTGACTATAAATCAATGTGAAGGCATACTAAAGATATTTTTAGATTTTCACGTACTCAGAAATTTCATCTCCCATCTGTTTTTTCTGATGAAGATACTTTTGGAGATATTCCAGAGAAGTGAAATGCAAACCAACAAAGAGGAAGATATCGAATACAAGAAAGAGTAGAACTTGTCCAGGAGTATAATGAGAAATCATTTCAGTGTGACGGCTGTGCATGGGGTTTACAAAACAATCTAAATCGGAAGAGGGAGTCTGTGGGTCCCAAGTATAACATTAATACTATCGTCAGAAAGAAAAATGAAATGTAGCTTACAAAAAAATAAGAGTGACCATGGAAATAGATGATATCAGTGACATGGTAAAGAAAATATATATTTCTTCTCTCAGCAAGATAAAAGAAAGATAATTGGAAATTCTGTGAAAAACAATCAACAAGAATTATATAGAAAAGTCAAGACACAAATATGAAGCCAGCTAAAATGTGGCAAAATTTTCAGCCATTTCTATACTTATAAAAGAGAATTTATTTAATTTAGACTCCAGAATATGCTTCTTCAAAAAGCCCAGAGGGGATAGTCTTGGACCTATAAAAAATGAAATGTAGTTTTTGCATATTATGTCTATGCAATGAATACTAATTAAATACTCATAATACAAATTGGGGGGGTTGTGTTGATTTTTTTAACTCTCAGAGTCAAACTGTAAGCAACACATGAAAGATGGGTTACAATAAAGAAAGAATTTGTCATTAACCCTGAAAATATAAAAACAAAAGTCTAGGCCACACCTGATGGCTCATGCCTGGAATCCCAACATTTGGGAGGCCAAGGCAGGCAGACTGCTTGAGCTCAGGAGTTCAAGACCAGCCTGGTCAACATAATAAAACCTCATCTCTACAAAAATTAGCTGGGCATGGTGGCATATGCCTGTAGTCCTGACTGTTTGGGAAGCTGAAGCAGGATTGCTTGAGCCCAGGAGGTGGAGGTTGCAGGGGGCCAAGTTCACACCACTGCATTCCAGCCTGGGTAACAGAGCAAGACACTGTCTCAAAAAAAAACAAAAGGTATAGATGACAGACTGTTATAATAGGTGGAAGGGTAGAAGGTGGAAGAAAGGAGAAAGGGGATAGTCTCATCAGTGTACCTCCAGAATGTGACCTCTTCTCACCAACGCCACGAGCACCTCCTGGTCAGCACTACTAGCATCTCTGTCTTGATGACTGTAAGAGCCATGCAACTACTCCCCTGCCTCCCACTATGCCTTCTTACAGTTCTCAACATGGAAGCTATACAAATCCATCTGACCACAAGTCAGACTATGTTACTCCTCTGCTTAAAACCTTGCAATGGTTTCTCATTGTACCAAATCAAAAATAAAAATTCTTTATTTTGATCTACATGGCCCTATATCATCTCACCCTGTTATCTCTCTGACCTCATTCTCCACCTCGCTGCCCTTTGCTCACTCCATTCTAGCCCTGCTAGCCACCTGTAATCCTTGAATGTGCCAGGCGCACTCCTTCTTTGGGGCCTTTGATGTTGTCTCTGCCTGGAACTCTATTCCCCAAAATGGTCACATGAATAACATCCTTCCTGCCCTTGAGTCTGCTCAAATGTCATCTCTCAATGAGGTTAAATTTGACCACCTGATTTAAAATTATTATTCTCACTTTCTGGACTCCTGAACTATATCTTCTCCTGTATTTCTTTTTTTTCTATGTTGAATTTATTAATGTCTACTGTATACTTTCTGTGTCTGAACACCCCTACCCCGAACTACCATGGTAAGTGCCAATGAGTCTGAGAGCTCTGTTTTGTTCGCTGAGCACTTAGAACAGTGACTGTCATCATAGTAAGTACCCAATAAATAATTATGAATATATAAATATAGCTTGGGAGTCAAGAGGCATTATATATGGCTGATGGAACAAAAACTGAAGGTTTAAGTGTATTATTTAAAGTTATAAAGGCAACCAAGAATAAAACTGCAATGACTATCAAAAATTTGGAAAGGGTAGCTAAATCCTTGTTTTTATTACAGAGAATAACTAAAATACATAGAAACAAAGTCTTGAAAGAGATACACTAAATTAATTGCAGTTGTAACTTTGCAGGAGGCAGATTAAAGGAATAAAGGGATAAAAATCAGTGATTAAAAATTGTCATATTGGCTGGGTGCGGTGGCTCATGCCTAAAATCCCAGCACTTTGGGAGGCAATGTGGGAGGACTGCTTGAACCCAGGAGTTCAAGACCAGCCTGGGTAACATAGTGAGATCCTGTCCCTACAAAAAATGAAAACATTAGCCCAGCATGGTGGCACACACCCATAGTTCCACCTACCCAGGAGGCTGAGGTGGGAGGATCCACTGAGCTTGGAAGGTCAAGGCTATAGTGAGCCATGGTCACACTACTGCACTCCAGCCTAGGCAACAGAGTAAAACCCTGTCTCAAAGAAACATAATTCGTTCATCAAAAAAAAGGTGGGGGTTTTCCTCTGGAAAGTGGGACTGGGAAATGTGACAGACAGCTGTTCTTTTTCAGTATAAACTCCTCGGCACTACCTTATTTTTACTATGTATACATATTACTTTGATGAAAATTAAAAGACAAATTGTATTTCATTTTTTGCTAATCAGCTGACTTTAGAAAATAAATTTTAGAAGAAGCAAAGAAATAAGCAGTTCTAGGTTCACTCTAGTACATAAACAAATATCCAATAGATTCCCCCAAGGAATATGGTACATACCTTATGGCTGTGATGATGTTGGTCTTGAAAATTTTCGAAGTGGGTGTTACCAGTTGATCACTACACCTGCAAAAATAAAAGGAGATATAATAACATCAAACATTTGGTTTTAGGAACTTTAACTCCCTGGTATGTACCAGTACGGATTTCAAATTTTTCCTCTATTATCGGATATAGTCACTATTTGAAAGCCAAGGCCTCCTCTCCCATCCACCTGCTAGCTGCTAGGGAATTAGTGTAGTATTCTAACATTTGATCCTATTTTCTCCCTTCCGGATCACGTGGATTGGCTTTGCCATTGCATGAATTTGCCAAGAGCAAGAGTAATATGCCAAACCAAACATCTGTCACTAAAGTGCAGATTTATTATTTTTACCTAAAAGGATATTTGCTACATCAAGAATACTGCAATCATCAAGGCAGATGAGGCTCCAGCCCTAGTGGATAATCATGGACACCAGGGCCTCAGAGAACACCCTGCTCTTCCCACTCACAGAACCCTGAAGGACCCAGCCTCAAAGGAAAGTTCTGATGAGGGGATGTGCAAGTCTACAAAGAGTTATTTGAGTCACTTTTATAGTTTCTACAAAATTTAAGGACTGAAACTAAAAATGGCCCTCAGCCACTTATTCATTGGTCAGCCCTAGCATCTAATATAAATGCTCTTCCACAACCCCTAGCAAGCCAGGAATGGGTAATAAAGACAGCTTTTGGCAAGACATCAGGCAAAAGATAAATTCTGGTTCTCAACACTGTATCCCAGGGGAGTAGGGAAGAAAATAGGGAGTTAATACCAATGGACAGTGTTCACATCTCTCCACAGCATATGTTTAGGATGGGAATCAGGCTGTTACCCCAGTTTCAAAGATCAACTTAAATAGCAAAGGTAAGGTGACATGCCATTCGAGGTATTTAAAAACATAAGCACTAATATTTCATCTGTGCATTTATGTGTGTGCTTTTGAAAAAAAAGAGCTGTCACTATATTGCAGTACCCATGGATAAAAATATTTTTATTATGTTTATTATAGACATACAGCAATTTCAGAAGACATCTATTAAAGATGATAACTTTAGTTTTAGAACTGTTAAGATTATTTATTTTCTAACAGTGTTTATTATGCAAGGACTGATTGCCTGTTGAGGTCATTCTAGGTTCTCAAAAGGAAAACCATATTATTACATAATTACCTAGACTCCCCTGCATCATTATGTAAAAAAATGGGACAAAGGATCAGAAAAGTGACCAAGCAAAACAAATACTTTGTTTCAGAGTCTTTACATTTCAGAAAAATCATTCCCATGATGCTCAGATCTTTCAGTGCTATTAAAACATAGACTTTTAGTCAGGCACAGTGGCTCATACCTGTAATTCCAACATTTTGGGAGGCCGTGGCAGGAGGATGGCTTGAGGACAGAAGCTCAAGACCAGCCTGGGCAACATAGTCTCTCTACAATTTAAAAAATACAAAAATTAGCCAGACATGGTGCATACACCAGTAGTCCCAGCTACTCTGGAGGCTGAAGTGGCAGGATCACTTAAGCCCGGGAGCTCGAGGCTGCAGTGAACTATGATTGCATCACTGCACTCCAGCCCAGGCAACAGTGAGACCCTGTCTCTAAAAAATAAAATAAAATACATATTTTTTAAAGCATCAGTAACCAGGAATCTCTATTAAGCCTTATATCATTCTTGTCCTCCTCAATCTCAGTCATCTCAATTCCACCCAAATGTCCAAACCAGAACCCTGAGAGCGATTCTTGTCCTCTCCCTCTCCCTCTGCCTCAGTCTCCACATCCAAGCATCCCCCACAAAGCCCTGTTGAATATCATTCTAAAATACATTATGTGCTTTCTCTCACTCTCTGGTTAAAGACAAAGTCAACACTGTCTTACATTGAGGCTGCTACTATTAGAATTTTTAAAATAAAAACAGTAGCAAACACCTTATAATCCTTGCTATGGGTCAGGTACTCCTCTAAGTAATTTAAATGCATTAGCTGATTTATTCTTCTCAATAACCCTAGAAAGCATTCTAGCACCACTTTAAGATGAAGAAACTGATGCACAGAGAAGTTAACTGACTTTTCCAACATCACACAGCTAGGAAGTGGAGGTGCCAGCTGTCACCTCTTCACTGACCCTTTGCATTCACACGGGCCATCCTCTGGTCTGGTTTCCACACAGCAACCAGAGTGACTGTTTAAAACAAGAAACTTTTTTTTTTTGAGACAGAGTTTCACTCCGTCACCAGGTGCCAGGCTGGAATGCAGTGGCGTGACCTCGGCTCACTGCAACCTCCACCTCCTACGTTCAAGCAATTCTCCTGCCTCAGCCTCCCGAGTAGCTGGGACTACAGGCGTGTGCCACCACGCCCAGTTAATTTTTTTGTATTTTCAGTAGAGACAGGGTTTCACTAAAACAAGTCACTTTTTTTTTTTTTTTTTGAGACGGAGTTTCACTCTTGTTACCCAGGCTGGAGTGCAACGGCGCGATCTCGGCTCACTGCAACCTCCGAAAGGCTCACTTTTATTTTGAGTCTTTTCTTCCGCATGTGGGCCAAGGAGAGTCTTGCAACTTTATTGCTAATAGATTCTCTGATTGTTTTGCAGATGCCTAACGGTAGCTGCGCCAGGCTGAGATCGCGCCATTGCACTCCAGCCTGGGTAACAAGAGCGAAACTCGGTCTCAAAAAACAACAACAACAACAACAACAAAAAATGCCTTTATTTCATCCAGCTAAAACGAGTTGTTGTTGTTGTTGTTGTTTTTTGAGATGGAGTTTCGCTCTTGTTACCAAGGCTGGAGTGCAATGGCGCGATCTCTGCTAGGCACAGCTACCATTAGGCATCTGCAAAACAGAGAATCTATTAGCCACAAAGTTACAAGACTCTCCTTTGCCGGTATGCAGAAGAAAAGACTCAAAATAGAAGTGACGCCTTTATTTCATCTGGCTGAAACGAGTTTTTGTTCGTGTGTTTGTTTGTTTGTTTTTTTGAGATGGAGTTTCGCTCTTGTTACCCAGGCTGGAGTGCAATGGCGCCATCTCGGCTCACCGCAACCTCCCCCTCCTGGGTTCAGGCAATTCTCCTGCCTCAGCCTCCCTAGTAGCTGGGATTACAGGCACCCGCCACCATGTCCACCTAATTTTTTGTATTTTTAGTAGAGACGGTGTTTCAACATGTTGACCAGGATGGTCTCCATCTCTCGACCTCGTGATCCACCCGTCTCGGCCTCCCAAAGTGCTGGGATTACAAGCTTGAGCCACCGCGCCCGGCCAACAAGTCATTTTTATACAGAACCAGAAACCTTAAAGTGAGAACAGAAAACAACTTTATACTCTTCTTCCAAACAGCCTGACCAAACAAGCTCTGCAGGACTGGTTCTTTCCTGGTGCCTGGGGCAAGTCCCTTGACATTTTTTTGGCACTCTCAGTTAATACGAATTCTCTCTTCTAGTCACAAAATAGTTTCATTTCAATAATAACAATGCCCAGTTCAGTGTGTTGGTTTGAAACTCTGAACTTCATTATGGTTAATGCTTCCTCCCCGACACCCACCCAAACCTGCTTGGGCTTGCGGCCTTTGGGGTGGGGTTGGCTCCTCTCTCCTGGCCTCCTCCTCTTCATTGCCTCAGCCCCTTCAACCAGCCAGTGGTGGAGGGGCCAGGAAAGAGAGATAAGGAACAGAAAAGATCTTGTGTGACAGACATAGCTGTAATCTAGCATTGACAGACTCTGGCCATGGCAGGTGTTTAAAGCTGACTCTTGCTCTCGGGTTTTTTTTTTTTTTTTAATGCAGGCTAGTTCTCTGTAAGTTCCTCTGATTGGAGCTCATTGAAATAGGTAAAGCCTCAACCTTAGTGGGATGCTTACACACCCACTCCAGCCCCACCTTCAGTTTCTGAAACTGAAGACACATCTCCAGACTCTTTCTGCTAAGGTTGTCTGGTGTGGGCAGAAGGCCTCTTAAGCATAATCCCTTTTTAAATGACCCTACATATATATTCCTACCAACAATTTCATACCTTGGAGCTGCCAATGCAATCTGCCAATGCCACTTATTTTCCAAATGCAGTACCTTACTTTGATGACAGTAAGCTATTTACCAGGTATTTCTGTGACCCATGGACTCCAGAGGATATAAGTCAACCCTTCCATGTGGTCTCCTTGGAGTATCCCTCACTAACACACCTGAGGTAAGGTACAAATACCTGTCCTACCAATCTCTCATGGGGTTGTAGGGAAGACATAATGCACTGGAGACTCTTTCAATGCTCTCCTTAGCCTTTTCCATTTCAGTTTCTATATAGCCTTAAGATAGGCAGAGGAGTGAAGATCTACAGAAGTGATTTCAGCACCTCTTTTGTAATTCTGCCATGAATGATCTGACTCACTTCATTTGGAATGTGGGGGTAATTAGGCCCTCAGCTGCAATGAGTCAGGAAGAGTCCCATTTTAACATTCTGTTAGAAGCACGGTACATTATGCCTTTCCATTGCTGTTAACATTAAATACTAAAAAACACTAATCATACAATGTCCTTCCTCTGCTATTGGGATTAAATATTAACTTTTTACCACTTCCACTTTTCTCTACTACCACTTACTGTGGAGCACATGATATGGACTATGATAGAGACAAACCGGTCTAGCTTTGTCTCACAACTCTCTTTTCTGGGTTCAGCTACATGGATCTCCTTGCAGGTACTTGGATTCTCTAAGCTCTTTTCTATCTCAGGACCTTTATACATCCCTAGAACATTCTTTCTCCCACCACTCTTGTCATCATTTGTTAGGTCTCACATTAAATATTATCTCATTGCAAAGGACTTTCCTGAAGTATTATAGCTTTCCACTCCCAGCCCATTTTTCTCATTTGTATATATTATTTTACTTTATAGCATTTACCACAAATTATAAATGTATGATTGCATATTATCAAGCTTATGGCCATATGGCCAGAGACTGTTTAACGATTTACCAAATTATTTGTGTTTTCCTCCTGGACATCCAATCGAACTACATATCCCAGCCTCCCTTGCACTTAGGTACTGCCATATGACTGTTCTAGTCAATGGAATGTAGATAGAAAAAGAACACTTCCGGGCCTGGCCTATAAAATCTTGCCACATCTGATCCCCCATTCTTTTCTTCCATTCACCAACTTAATAGAGAAGATTCCAAAGACCCAGCAGAGCAGAGAAACACAAGAGGAAAGTGAGCTGAGTTAGTGCCTAGAGAAGTCTGGTATAGTAAAGACATCAGCAGCAGCCTCGTTGGACTACTGCTTGAGCAAAAACAAACTTTTATGAGGTTAAGTTATTGAATTTTCTCTTTATACAATTTTCTCTTTCCAGCAAGTAAATTGAAGAAAGGATGACAGAATTAGATTACCACTATTTTAAACCCTAATGAATTAATGAATCTAGACAATGATCATCAATGTCTATTATTTGTGATGGGAAGAGGAAGCTTTGAGAATATTCACAGAATATTAAAAATATTTCATTGCATCCTGGGCTCTCTTTTCTTTCTTTTTTTTTCAACTGTTTATTTTAGATTCCAGGGTACACGTGCATGTTTGTTAGAAGGGCATATTGCATGATGCTGGGGTTTGGAGTACTATTGAACCCATCACCCAGGAAGTGAGCATAGGACCCAATAGGTATTTTTCAACCCTTGCCCCACTCCCCTTTCAGTCTTGTATTTCCAAGTGTCTATTGTTCTCCTTTTTATGTCCATGTGTACCCCATGTTTAGCTCCCACTTATAAGTGAGAACATGTTATTTAATTTCTGCTTCGGTATTACTTTATCTGCATCCATGTTGCTGCAAAGGATGTGGTTTCATTGTTTTTATGGCTGCATAGTATTCCTCGGTATATAAGTATTAATACCACATTTTCTTTATCCAATTCACTGTTGATAAGCACCTGGGTTGGGTCCATGTCTTTGATATTGTGTATAGTGCTGTGATTAACATAAAGGTACATGTGTCTTTTTGGCAGAATGATTTATGTTCCTCTGGGTATAAACTCAATAATGGGATTGCTTGGCTGAATAGTTCACCTCTTAGTTCTCTGAGAAATCTCCAAACTGCTCTCCCCAGAGGCTGAACGAATTTGCATTCCCAGCAACAATGTATAAGCATTCCCTTTCCTCCACAGCCCCACCAACATCTGTTATTTTTTGACATTTTAACAAAACCTATTCTAGACAGGTGTGAGATGCTATCTCATTGTGGACTTGATTTGCATTTCTCTGATGATTAGTGATGAGCATTTTTTCACGTTTGTTAGCTGCTTGCACATCTTTTTTAAAGAAGTGTCTGTTTGACACTTTACAAAAGAAGACATACTTTAGGCCAACAAACATATGAAAAAATGCTCATCATCACTGGTCATTAGAGAAATGCAAATCAAAACTACATTGAGATACTATCTCACGCCAGTT